TGTCTATTCAATATTTATAAGGGTATTTTACAAAAAAAAAAAAAATGTAGCTCTATGCAATATTTATAAGGGTATTATACAAAAAATATAACCTTATTCAATATTAAAATTTAAAAGGTAAATTTAAAATATATCTAAACAAATATAAGAAAAAATTGAATCGAGATTGATTTGTATTAACTAGTAATAAATTATTAACTAAGAACAAATTAGTAATTTAGAATAAATTACCAATTAAGAACCAACCTTGATGCTCTTGATGTTTTTTTCATTATGTTTTTTTCATTATGTTTTTAATGGTGATGAGAGTATCTCAATCACTAGCTTTTGATTTTTAATAAGTATTCTTGCTTTCTTGCTTTCTTTTTTTTTAAAAAAAAAATTTTTTTGACAATACCATATCATACAGCTCATTATATATCACCTAATCTGATTTTTGATACAAGTGTCACCAAAGAAAAGGATTAAAGAGCTTGAGATGAAGAAAGAGAGAGCAAGAGTGAAAAAGAGGAAAAGTTGAGTGAAAGCGAAACTGACGGGAAGTTAGGATTTGTATATTTTATTTTTATTTCTACTTTTAGGATTAAGAAATTTAAAATTTAAAATTAATTTCTAAATAATCTAATAAAAAATGAATAAAAAATAGTTCGATCGTTTCGGATGATCTGATCCACCCATGATCCAACCCATTTAGGTTCGGATAATTTTAGATTTCAAATTAACACATAATACCCATCACTAGACCCATAATGGATGGATTAACTCTAATTTTCGGATTGGAACCAATTTTACCTAGTCTACCTTTCCCCTCTCCCTTTTTGATGATTATTTGTTAGGAAATTATGAAATTTTCATAATATTGTTTCTTATTTTCTCATTTTCCACTTATGTTCACCCAAAAATGCATTTTTTGATCTTACAAATTTCATCACTTTGGATTGCTCAAGAGAAGAAGGAATTAAAGATACGTAGCTGATTATCAGTGGGATGATCAACCGAAGAAAGAGAGTGAAGGAGCGAAGATGCGAAGATCGAAGAGATATTTTTTGAAATAAAATCAATTAGTACATACTACCAAGCACTCCCTCCTACACTCACCCTTCAGCAACTGCTCTTTCATTCTTGTTCAAAATTTGTAACCAGTCTCCAATTGCAAGTTTAAAAAAATGAGTTACGTGGCTAGATAGGAAAGGAGAGCGATTCCTCAAAAGGATGTAGGAGAAAGGAAAATGATATATATATATATATATATATAATTTTTTAATTATTTTTTAATGTAATTTTATTAATTATTTAAATTATTAATTTTTTATTTATTTAAAACTCATAACAATAAATATATTTATTTATTTAATAATATATAAAAATTATCTTTATTTTACTGCATGTAGAAGAAAACCCGAGATGACTTGTTAGTAATATTCATTTAAAACTTATAACAATAAATATATTTATTTATTTAATAATATATAAAAATATCTTTATTTCACTGCATGTAGGAAAAAACCCGAGATGACTTGTTAGTAATATCCAGTTATAACTCATTTTACCCGATATGAAAGCTCGACCGGACTGCTCTTCTTTGTGGGCTAGATGCTCAGCTAGGCCGTAGGTTGAAAACCTTTCAACACCTCTTCTTACCATGACCAGGGCAGGTTAGAGCACATTCAACTTAATTATGGAATAAGAGTCGGCTCTATAGCTTGAATAAAAATTCTTGAAAGGTTTTAACCGTGAATATTATAGGTGAAAAGAACCAAGCGGTGGGATATAATATCTTTCTCACACTTCGATTTCTCTCACGTTGTTTGGGATCAAAATAAAAGGTACCTGGGAGCGTCTTCAATGTTTAAGGGTAATGGAGTCAGTAACCTGATCCACTTCACCAACAGGACCGGTTCCGATATTACCCTTAGTGTCGGTGACCATATATAGTAAGTTGCCCGGTCAATCTCTGTTCTTTTTTTTTTTCTTTTT